GAAATCTCTTTCATATTTGTTACTGTTTTCGGCGAGAAGAAATTTAACCACGCGTAGCTCGCCAGGCTCTGACGTGGCACCCTCCGCATTGGTACGTTTTTGGAACAGTCCAAAACCGTTCACCCCCACGCCACGATGAGGCTGCGGATAGGATTTGTGGGGGTGTATATTGGAAAACATGATAAGTTTAGTATAATACCCGTATAAAAAGAATCGCACCCTCATCGAGGTAGCAGCTGTTCTTTGCAGCCACATTAGCAAGAAATCTGTCTGACACTCACAAGGGAGTTCGTTTAGGCCATGGTGAGCTTTCCGAAACGGTTTGTTGCATGGGTATGTTCTCATACATGGACTATACGGATAGGGTTCATTTTCGCTAAACGTTATTGGGTATGTCAAAGAAGGAGTGAGAAAGTTTGACAAGAAAGGGCGATTTTGAAATACTTATTCAACTACGTTCTATGTGGTGAGGCACATTTAAGTTTGTTCAGTGATTCCCAAAGTCTCCCTTCCCGCATGCAGTGACTATTTAGCGCCATACTGGCCGCCTTGGCGCTAAAGATAAGGGTTGGAATTGTGGTCGGTGTCATCATCATCAACTGCCCAGTGTGTGAAAATTTAGCAAAAAAATCTCGAGCTTTTCTGGTGTTAATGCATCGTCCACATGAATGGCAGCTACACCTCAACGCTCACGTCCCCGTAACCGTGTAGGTCAGAGGCGAGAAAAACCGTCATAAATTTCCATTCCAAAATTCAGTACGTTTTTAGAAAATGCCATGTTAGCTCCAGTGCACCTGAACGAGCATCTTGAATCTTTTTCAACTTTTACCGTCTGGCTTTTATCGAAGACCTCATTAACCCGTTTTTCGTTGTCAATGATGGCCACTAGTGCACATGTTCTGTTATCATAACCAATGGAGCTCGAAAAAAAATCTGCTGAAACCCCGTATGCAGGAATGATGGCCTCAATCACGATTCTGCCACTTATTTTTGGCGCAGAAACAATCTGGGGCTAGCATGGCGCGAAACAGCCATTACGGGCAGGTTCACAATGATTTCAATGCCTTTTCTGAACCATTAGTGTAAGAATGAGCCCTTGAATGGCATATGTGTGGATTGTACACATTATCAGGCACGCCGGAACACAACAAGATGGGAATCTGAGCAAAATGATGTCTTCAAGAGGATCCGATCTACAAGGTACCATACAATGATAGTCCGCCGTGTTATCCACCACACCATCCGTACACTGCGATCGGTGAGATGCGGGAGCCATTGAAGAAACATGCGGGATGACGAAGAGACTCTAATGTAGCTCAGCACATTCCAAGTAACGTGCTGGGATTTTGACCTTATTTTGCTTTTTGAGAACGCATAGTTTATGAGGTGCTCTTCGGTGACTATTTAAAGAACACCTCATAAACTATGCATTCTCAACGCTACAGCTAGAACAGAGCTGGATAAGGTGGTTTGAGTTACCCCTTCTTGCCGAATTTTTCCACTCCTTTTTGACAAGCCCAATAACGTTGAGCAAAAATCAACCCCAGTCCATGTCTGAGCCCCTAGTCATGCAACGAACCGTTTCGGAAAACTCACCACGACCTGAATGGCCTCCTTTTTTGACATTCCCAGTGATGTTCAGCAAAAATGAACCGCATCTATGTGGTCCATGCATGGACCCCCACATCATGCAACAAACCTTTCCAAAAAGCTCACCATGAAGTGGAACGACCTCCTTTGTTAGAAACAACCAGTAACTAAGTCATCGCTTCTGTCTTCGTGCACTTTGACGGCATATCATTTCATTGCAACAGAAACGTCGAGCATTTACAAGAGACCACAATCTTCTAGTGGAATCAACTCACCCAAATATTAGGTCATCCCATTCCAAAAAGTGGACACATATAGAGGAATGGCATAAAATAAAAGTCCCTATGGCTGTGGGCTTCCATATCGTTCGAAAGCTGGTACCTTTAGCCGTAAGATGTGGCTAGCTTAGCCACAGAAGAGCATATAGAGAAACTGAAAGGAAACCCGACAGGTCAAAATCAGCGCTGGATTTTTGAGTCGGGCGTCATAAGGGGAAGGTGAGCTGCTCGAAGTTGTCGTGTGCCAGATTAATAGCTGTGCATGGTGGCTTCCTCGGAACTGAATGTGGAAGATTTGGATCGGAAATCCAAAGAAGGATGAACGAAAAACGGTTTTGGTCAAAAAACGCCACACAATGTTCTTTATGCCCAAGAAAAATGAGTTGAAGTCATGTGCCACATGCCTGATTGCAGAGGTTGGACCTGTCATGCTCCCCCGCTAGAGTGACATCCCTGCTGCAACCGTTTAACAAGTTATGTCCGAAAAATTGAGAGAGGTGGGTTGGGTACTTCATTCTCTTGTAGAACGGACGGAGTGCCTATGCCGTGTAGAGTGAGTGTTCTATGCCTGTAGCAGAGATTTCCACTGCCTCAGACGTCATTTCCGACTGTGAATTTCACCGTAGCCCTAGACGAAATTTGGGAAGTCCTGAACTCCGAGGCGAAACTCACAAGTGTCAAATTTGTATGAATGCCGATGAGAAGCCATCAGAATTCGGGCATGAGGGTTCATGTGGGCTCAAGCGGATAATCGCTATGGCAATAGATTCCCCTGCAGTGCGACTTTCAAACAACTCTACACAGTGAACAAAACCGTCGCTGTCAGCGCATATTCCCTGTTCCTCGACAGTCAGATCGACAAATAGATAGTGCCACCACCAATCGTATTATTAAGCAGTGCTCCTACACCAACAATACAAGAGCTGTGTTCAACCACCTTCTTCGTCCGCTCTACAACCGTGCAATTTCACCTGCTCTGGCCAGTCGA